CAATACTACTTCCCCCCGGCAAACCGTTGTTCAGGGTTTGTAGAGGCTAGGTTAGTTATTATCGATACACACTTCCCACCCTACTCACTATTGCTCCCCTTTAACGAACTAATCGTTATACCGTGGACGGCAGTGGCGCCCCATTGGCCTCGAACCCTGTGCACAGATTGCCAGCGTTTCGATCGCTACGAAGCAAAGGGTTTCCACTACCGAATACGGAGTGAGGACGAGCACAAGGAGAAAGCTAGTCTGCGACCCTCCTCATCAGACTCAGAACTGACCAACGAACGACGACGAGACTTGATCCGAAAATGAGACACGCGAAGCGTGCCGAAGCCCTCTTGCTCTAAACGACGGGCCGTAGCACGGTGGGAAACCCGACGATACTTTCTAGATTGAATTTGGATTTTGCTCGCGCATTCCACGACGCACGAAAACAATCGACCTGCTTCATCGGGCCAACACGGGGGATTTCAGTTCCGTCTGTGTCCCCACACTCGATTTTCAAAAATCCTTGGCACTCCCCATCTTGCTGTTTTTCTGGACCTCTTTCCGCACAATTAACACTCCGAACGAAAGACAGCACGGATCGTGATGATAGTAAGTCGAACTGGCGAGAGGTAGGAGAGACCCTCAACTAACTCGTCAGGATCGCCCTGTAACCAGGTCTCAGTCTAGTGCGGCTGCACCAACAATACCAATGGTGGACGGTACTAGGGTGATCGTTAGTATCCCTTCGCCCTTCCCCTTCTTCCCTAACCATACTCATCCTGAGGGTTGGCTGGAAGCTGTCGAAGCTCAGAACTACAGAGCAGCCGACCTCCCCCGCGTTCTGACATTGCTACTTCGCAACACATCCCGTGACTGGCTTAGGAAACATACATGGGTAGATTGGGACACTTTTAAGCGAGCATTTTTTGCTCAATTTGATACGGTTAGTGAAGATGCCACCTGGTATGTACTCAAAAGTCGACCTCAAGGACCAGGGAAATTGTTGCCCGATTTCGTCGATCGGTTCCAAACCACGTTGGACAAATCCGGGTAGGACGAGAAATCCGCTCGAGATCTATTCATCTATCACCTACGAAGTCCGACATTAAAGGGCAAATTGCAGAAGAAGGTCCCGTCGAAAACACATCAGTTATCGACCATTATCACTAAAGCATTAGAGCTGGATCTGGTTGATACAAAAAAATATATCTCTCAGGGAGACGAAGATATTACAGATACCATACTGGATGTAACGGCCAAAAGACGATCATGGTTGCAGGCGGTCGAACGGTTTTATCCCCGCCCCGACCATGACCTTCCCGGCGGGATCGTTTCCGATATCCCACCTGCTTCTCCTCCCTCACCCCCCGGTGAATCAACCGATCGCAGCCGATAGAAGCGGAACCTCGTCTGAACCCTCCTCGTCGGCCGTAACCAATCTACACCTTGCCCAGATGATCCCTACGGCCGCTACCAAGCAGTCCGAATGGATGAGCAACCTGATCCAAATGCAGGCCGCTCATATGGAACGAATGGAACAAATAATGGGCCGACTCATTAAGCACAACCCGGCACCTGCTCGGCCCGTCCCTGCATCGTTTTCACTCTTACCTGCCCCACCTGCTCCAGGGTTTGCGCCCCAGTTCCCTCATCCAGCAGGGGAGATCGAATGCTTTAACTGCAAACAGCCCGGGCATTTGTCCGGGACTGCCCGCAGCCGAAACGAAATCAGCCTCCCTCTGCTGAGGCCCCCATTGCCCTTAATCAAGGACGAGTGGGCGCTTTGATGGATACGGATCAAGGAAGAGAACTCGTGGCATATGCCCCCGAGCAGCCTTCCCGTTCGACGACACTGGCGTCGACATCAAGAGCTTCCTCCTCTGACGCTGCTGACATAGTCGATCCACTTGAATACCTTCATCTTGCAGGCATGATCGGAGCAATCCGATCGGTCCTGGATGATCTCGAGTGGGTCGATCGGGAATCCAATCCTGGACCACAGTTTCGGACAGGAGACATTGATGTACTCAAAACGCGCAAGCAACTAGATATTCACGTGCCCATCCCCATGGGACATCTGCTCACCATATCTGAAGTGGCGAACGATAAGCTTCTACAACATTGCCAGAAAAATCAAAAGCGTTTCACCTATTAACGCATACAACGCATGTTGAAGAAGAAAGAAGAAAGCGAGGAAGTTGCACCCCCTGAGCTTGACACGAAAGAGCTGGAACCCGAAGCCGCACGCATAGCAGCAATCTCTTTAGCAGAAAAAAATCACTTCGTACGATCTCGGTCGGTATTGTGGAAAAATGTGAAATGTGAGTGTGAAGTTTGGGGCAAGCCGTTTAATGCCCTTATTGACACAGAGTCTTCTGCCGTGGCCATATCATTGGATATTGTCAAAAAGACGGGACGACTGGGATCCATTCTTCCTCATTCTGGCAAAGACAATTATGTCTCTGCCGACGAGGAGACGATGAACATCATAGGCATTATGGAGAACGTGGCTGTAAAAGTCGGGCGAGTACACGTCCTTGTTAACGCGCTCGTAATAGATGTACGTTCCTATTCTGTGTTATTTGGATTACCTTGGGCAATGGCGGTAGGTGCACGTCTGGATTTCGATTCAAGACAATTGGTACTCACGCAAACTGGGGAAAAACCTCAAACTGTCCCTTTGCGAGTTTTCACCCAAACGATAAAACGGGTCCCTAACTCAGCCCAAATTGGGATGATTCGATGCATTGATCCTTAGGAGTGCTCTCCCTCGGACATCAGTGATAGAATCAGGGAACAGGAATACGAAGAAGAGTTGCCCAACAAAGATGAATGGAAGCACCTGGTTGAATTCTTCGAACACGAAATTCCCGAGGAATTCCAAGTGTGCCCCGACGCTGCCCGAAGTTTCCACGTTGATCCCGGAGACAGCGCGCTTGCGCCTTCAATAACTCAAGTTAGTCCTTCAGTCCTCCTCGGGGAACCCATATTGCAAGTTTTCGATCTGGCTGATGATTTGGAACCCCCTCGCACCTTGTACGAGGGAGCTCTTTCCTTAAGAACGCGTTATCAGCAAACGGAACAGTATTTAGACGTTTCTGTTTTTCAACCCCGATCGTTACTAATGACAGGAGCCACTATCGCCTTGATAGAACAAGAGGCGGAAGCACCGGTAAGTGATGTACCTAATCTGATGCAAGAAATGACGGATCTAACAGGGCTAACTGTGGAACCGACCTCGGTTGGTTCAAAATCTGATGCTGAAACTAAAAAAACAAAGATGATCAGCCCTGCTGAGTCCAAGATGATAGAAAACTGCCTTCTCTGTTCGCACCAGTAGTTCCGTTTTTTCTAGTGTACATGATTGATGGGAACGGCCGTTTGATTGGATCGATATGCCCCTTAAAATTTCCGGGGAATCAACAATCACCTTGCCAGGTCACGTTCCCATGGAACTTCGGAAATCGATAATTCGTGTGTTAAATGGCTACGAAAAAGTATTGAGCATACACGATAACGACATCGGTTTAACTAATGTGATCGAGCATGCCATTCTCAAGGGAGATCACCCACCCATTAGCTGCGCTCCCTACCGATACTCGCCAGCTCAAAAAGCGGCCGCTTTTCAGCGGATTACGGAGTTCGAAGCTAATGGATGGATTGAACTCGCTATAGGTCCATGGTCTTTCCCTGTAGTGATCGTACCTAAAAAGGTTGGAGGGATTCGCATTTGCATTGATTATCGAAAGTTGAATAATATCACGATCAAAGATGTGTATCCCCTCCCCCAGATTAATGAGTTGTTGGATGCGATTGGGAGTGCTCGATTTTTCAGCAAGTTTGACGTTCGCTATGGGTTCCATCATCTTCTTGTTCGTGAGGAAGATCGTCCGAAAACAGCGTTCGTGCTTTTCGAAGGTACATGGCAGTGGATTCGATGTCCGATGGGTATCTGCAATGCCCCTGCGACCTTTCAGCGGGCCATGAACATGGCTTTCCAGAATTTCGTGAGGAAGACTCGTTTGGCGCAGAGCATCATCAACTACTGCGTGATTGTGTACATGGATGACATCCGGTGTATTCGAGTTCCTACGAGGGACACGTGCAACACATCGAATGGGCACTGCATGCGCTACGAGATGCAGGCTTCAAAGTGGCGCTTGAGAAGTGTTAGTTTTTCCTCACCACCATTTCCTTCCTAGGGCACGTGGTGACATACAAGGGACTCCAACCGGAGCCGCAGAAGGTGGCAGCTGTCACGCGCTGATGCCTACGACCATCACGCAAGTTCGCGCTTTTCTGGGCCTAGCCTCGTACTACCGAAGATTTATCAAGGGTTTCGCGGCGATCGCGGGACCCCTCACAAATCTGTTGCACAAGGATCAGCCGTTGATCTGGACGCCGGAATGCGATCAACCATTTTCCATACTCAAGGCCGCTCTCATTTCGGCTCCGGTCCTTATAAGACCGTATCCCGAAAAACCTTTTGTTCTCATCACTAACTGGCAGCCAGAGGCGATTTCGACGATCCTTGCCCAGGTGGGACCAAGCAGACTCGAGAGTGTGGTGGAGTATGCGTCCAAATCAGTGACCGCCTGCGAGCACAACTACGCCGCTCCAACAGGTGAATGCTATGCGGCTCTCTGGGGAATCAGTCACTTTCGTGCTTACCTGTACGGGCGAAAGTTCACCCTGGTGACTGATCATGAGCCCCTGTTGGCTCTGAAGAAGTCGAAGGATTACTCGGGCATGATCGGGCGATGGGCAACGGTGCTGCAAAGCATGGACTTTGACATTCGTCATCGGAAGCGCGAGAGACACGGGAATGCAGACGGACTGACACGGTTGCACCGGCCTGAGAAGGTTCCAAAGGGTGAGGAGGTAATTCCGTGGAGCATCCCCGGACAGGAGATCGGACCTCGGTACGGCCAGTTGGAGATCTTATCGAAGCAATAAGTGACACGAGGACTAATTGTTCTGTTCTGATCTCCATGCATCCCCTCCTCCTCTGCCATCATGACCACCGCACTCGCCTCCGCAACCCCTTCTTCTGCTACTAACTTTGCCCCTCTCACTTCCTCGGCTTTCTTCGCCACCCTTTCCGATAAATTCTGCTATTTTTGCACGTGTATTACACGAGTTTATGGGGTCGATTGTCATCCCTTCGAGATCAGATTTGTCGATTGGGTAGAATGTGCCACGTTTGTCAACCATGCGCATGGGGCCTGCGTTCGATATCGAACGAGTAGCAAGGAATGGAGGTGCCCCCTGTGTAGAACGAACAAACTCCCCACGGAGGTTCGATTCGAGACCGCCCGTACAGACGGCCTTGAATACGACGAAAAATACCGACGAGCGGAGGTTTGGACGGATAAAATTTTATTAGCAAAATTAGCGGGTTTATCATTGGGCCACCTCACCAAAGACGACAGACGTAGGGCAACCGAGAGATCTCGGGACTATCGATGGATCAACGGTCATTTGGAAAAGCGTAAAACTAACGGATCAGGTTCGTGGTTGACGGTTCCCCATCCCTTCCAGAGATACGATTGGATCTGATCCGCTCACGAAGAACAGGCCGCTCATTTTGCAATACGTGTCACAGAGGCGACTGTAGACCAGAACCGATGGTTCTGGTCTAATATACGAGATGATGTCAAGTACATTGTCGCTAACTGTCTGGTCTGTGCCGCTGATCGCGCACCTATACGGGGACCAAAACCGATCGTACCAACGGAAGTAGAGCGTCCTTTCCAACGAGTCAGTATGGACACGACAGATATTGACGTGCCACCTGGCCCAAGCTGCTGTGAATATTCTATCCTGTTAGTTTTAATTGACCATTTTTTCAAATACATCGAAGTCTATCCCTGTAAGACCCGAAAGGCCGCTGAAATAGCGACGTACATCGAACGATTCCTCTATACCCACCTAGATACGGAAGAAATTCTAACTGACAAAAGGGTCGGAATTCAAAGCTGAGGTAGAAGAACTGCTTGCACGAAGGGCCGTCACGCTCCGACATACGGCACCCCACGTGTCCCAGTCGAACGGGTTGGCCGAGAATGCCAACCGTATGATTCAAACCGCCCTTCGCAGGAACTTAGCGGCACACGACATGCGTCCTTGGCCTGAGATTGTATATCAGATCATCGGGATCCACCGGGCCACCCCTCATGAGTCTACGGGGTTTACCCCCTTTCAGCTTCGAACTAATAGCCTCCCTTGTGTCGATTACCGGGGTAACCCGGAAATCGCCGAAGCAGGGGGTAGAGACACGCGTGCAACTCTCAAGGCCAAGGCCAAAAGGTACACCAAATTAATGGAACGGGCCGTCTCGAAGCTAGCCCGAAAAAGGCAAAGGATGACCGAACTGGCCCACGGTAGACAGGTCCGTAGCTACGAGGCCTGAAATGGAAATGTTGTGCCCCAGTACCAATATAAATTAGGGGACCTAGTGCAGGTACGTAAATGTGCACGTGACCGAAAACTCGCTCCCAAGTTCTTTGGCTGTTTTCGCGTGGTCGAACTCGAACTTAACGACGCCAACACAGTGCTCATCGCGCCCGAGGCTAGTGCCAGCCATAGCTCTGTCCCCATCGTCTTGCATACCTCCTACCTCCGTCTTCTTCCTCCTTCTGATCCTCCTCCCTCTTCTTCCTCGGAAAGCGAGGAGAACGACGACGATCTAACTCTCTCCCCTCTTTCTCCCTCTTGTCCTTCGTCCTCCTCTCCCACCTCGCCATGAGTTTTATTACGGAGCGGGTTCTTGACGCGCAGCTGTTGCAGCCTTGTGGCCACATCTCAGAGATTCGGCAAGTTTTTCACCCTCGACTCAATGCGGATCTTCGACGCTTGATGCGATTCTTCTGCGACGAAGGTATCTGTGCCGCCGTCACTTTTCGGATCGAAGGAAGTCCTCACGCAGTGGTATTCGCGGAGGTAACCGCAGTTCATCGGCGAGCGGGTCCCAGGACGAGCCACGTCACCACGGTGGCGGCATTCACCGGCGACATCAGCTCGGTCAATTTGATGTGGCATACCGCGATCTTGACCTCGCTGCTCGAGTGGACGGAGCAAGTGTCCAACGTGTGGCAGCACGTCCTCGCCCGACAAGGGTATAACATCATCCCGATCTTTACACCGGATCTAGACAATATTCGCCGATCACCGCGCGAGCGGCCAGTTGCGATCCCAACCCTCGTCCCCTTCCCACATCCCCAATGAACCACGCTGATCTCCTCGCGCCTCTCTCTATCTTTGCTCTCCCCTCTCTCTTCCCCACCTTCTGGCAATTCGATCTTCACCCTTCTCTTTCCTTCTCGTTCGAGCCTCTTTCAGTCCCTCTTATCAATCCTGGACATTGGCGGTTGTGGCGTGAAACGTTTGAGGAGCTGTCTTTCTGCCTGGCCAGAGTACAGGTGACGTGGATGGGCACTAGCGAGCATCCCACGTGGATCGAAAATCCGGAGCTGCTGATCATACAGGCTTGGAGGACTAACGTAGAAGGAGATCTTCTTGGCTTTCTCTTCGGATCGGTACGGCCGGGTCGACGCCATCTGATTGCGCAGGAGATTATCGCACCGATCGTGCAATTGGCGGACGATCTCTCGCCCGACATCTATTTTCAGAGTGACGACAATCCTGCTCCGTACATTTTCGAGCGATCATTGGACCCGTACCTTCAGTGGACTGCGTGCTTGGAGGAACCTAGGGACGAGGATACGCTACCGTCGCGACAGGAGTACTTGAAGCCGTACGAGATCATCCCTCACGCCCTCTATCCGAGGGTAGAGGAAGTAGTGATCGACGACGACGAAGAAGAAGACGAAGACGAAGAAACATCGGAGGAGGGAAGCTATAGTGAGCATAGCGAGGGCGAGCTGAGCCAAGGAGAAGAGGAGGAAGAGGAAACTGGATATGAGTGGGAAGCCTTGCCGGAGGAAGCGACGCGTACAGGAACGGAGGCAGACGATCCGGAAGCGGTGCGAAAGCGCGAAGAAATTGCCACCGGGAAGCGCCAGCTGGAGTTCGCCAGCCAAGCTAGACAGTGCATCGGCAACGATCCGACCAGGGATCCAGAGCTGCCGAAGCCCGAAGATGGCGACCCTGCAGCCGCCACCTCAAGTACCGCGTGACGGAGACGGAGCCGATCCCCCTCCTCCCCCAGCCCCACCCGTCCCCCAGTTTGCCCACGTACCGATGCGGGCGATAGGCCTTCGTCCTCGAACGCTGTCCTGCCGACCCCTTGATTTCCTCACCCTCGAGCAGATCCGTACCCCCGTCACCTTCCCCTCCCATCCTTTCCATCCCCATCTCTTCCGCGACTTCTATTCTACCCGTCTACTCGCCACCGTCCACCCTCATGCCTCCCTTCAATCTGCTGCCCCCACGTTCTGCTGGCATCTCCTGCTGTTCAGCGCTGCATGGGAGCGATGCAACGTGGTAGAGGTTTACTGCGTCGCCACGGGGACAATCCCCGCTTGCCGCCACTTCGAGATCTTTCGAGCGGCGCTCTTCCGCACCCTTTCCTCCTTCTACCGCGACTACCTCGCTTCCCTCCCTTGCAGCGGCGATCATTTCCCCCACTTCCACCGGATCATCCGATATGAGGAGCTCCCGGTGACGATGGAAGGGATAAAGTGCTTCCTACCCCCACTTCCTCCCCGTCATCCCCGCGAGACCCCTTCCATGTACCGCCTCTACTGGCTTATTCCAACTAGGCGGTAGGCCCCATTCACGTGACACCCCCCCCCTCTCTTCATCGACACGAATCATTAAGCTTCGCGAAGATCACGCCATCGATGATGACGTCAACCTACGCTCTGATTTGACGGGCAGCACCGAGCTGGGGTGCGGAGCACACGGAGATCAGGAAGACCATCATGGCGTCACCTGGACGATCTCTACAGGACAGGGGGTTGCATATGACAGGGTTGCGAAGGCCTTTTCTTTCCTCTTCCGCCATGACATGCAATCAGGAGATCGCATAATTTTGGAACCCCCTGCGCGTCACATATGTGACGAGCCACTTCCCGAACCCATGCTATCTTTCGTACCCCTGTTTATGTACCATATCAAACCCATTAAGAACCCCCTTTTCGGTTTCTTGTTTTCGGATGCTGCATTTCCTTTTTTTTGGAAACTTTTTCGATTTTCGGGTTCTGTTTTTCCTTTTTGCAAGTCGTGCGCCTTAGCAAGCGCACGGGGAATTGGGCTCGACGGTTGGGAATTCCGGGATAAGCGGAACCTCGACGTGTCCTTTTCGTATGTGTGAATGTTCTTGGTTGCGTCGGGGAAAACTCTCGGAATTTTGCACGAATACGAATAGGCATAAAATTTTCCTTTCCCGTGTCGCTTTTTCGCGCGCGGATATGGTGATTTCAATTTTGAATAAGGATAGAAGCAAGCTGTAATTGTTTCGGAACCTTTTTCTCTCTTTTTGTTGACGGCACCACGTATGTCGAGCTTTCCCCTCTTTGTCCCCCGCCTCGCTCCCTCCCGCGCCTCCCTTCCCTTCTCCCTCCTTTTTCTCTCTCCCCGTAACTGTTTTTCCTCTCTCTTTCTTTCTCTCCCGCCTTGCTTTTTGCGCGCTCATTTCCCTTTCTTGATCATCTGAATCTTGGACCCATCTTGCGCTACTTCTCGCGCCTTTTCTTTTCTCCCCCTCTGAGTCTGGCGCACGACGGTCGGTCGATCCATCGATAACTCCCGCTCGCCAATCAGGTGCGCAGATCAATAGGACCTTCATATTGCGCGGCGAATCTGATTGGTTGAAACTTGAGTTTCGAGGGATCAACATGGCGTTCGTAGAGCACTCCTCTCAAAGTCTTTTCCTCCTGCTCCTCCTCTTACACTTCAGCCTTCCCGTCACCTTCTCCCCCTTCTATCTCCCTTGTCGCAACTATAAAACCCGCAAGCGCGTCCGCAAATCTCTCTTACGTTCTCGACTTTCAAGCCAGCTTCCGGGAAGCAGTGGCTAGGCAGAGTGTTTGAAGCGAGTCGGAAAGCCCTGTCGGGCTGACGATAGGCTGGCCGGTTGCACGCTGGATCGCCACGACGGACTGTGGGGTCTGGGTGAATCGTGACGAGTTTATAACAGCGGGGTGATGATCGCAGTGGTGGGAGTTAGCACGCGACGACCGGGATCGTCGGTGCGGGTATGAGGATCGATGATCGGAGTTGAGTTGATTGGCCCTGGGCCATATTGGAATTAACGGCGAATGCGCCTTTGTTGCGGATTGTTATCTTTGGCATGAGTGTATGGCGGCAACGCCGAACTTTTCTCTTTCCGGACCTTGTCATCTTCTATTTTGATTTTCTTTCCCTCGACTCTCTCTCTCTCTCTCTTTCCTTCTCTTCCTCTTTTAGAATTATGATGCGTCCGAATGATTGTCCCTCTCCGAAATGGGAATGAGTTTGCATCCTGTTTCTGCGTGAAAGAACTTCTTCTGAAACTCTTCCATTAGTTTCCTGGGTAATCCTCCTATGCAAGGACCCT